CCAAGGTATTAGGATATCTACTGGAACCAAAAAGATTTATTACATTAGCATGAGCTTTCAATAATTGCATAGAATATACCAAGGTATTGGGATATTTACTGGAACCAAAAAGATTTATTACATTAGCATGAGCTTTCAATAATTGCATAGAATATACCAAGGTATTAGGATATCTACTGGATCCAAAAAGATTTAAAATGGCTTCAGCCACAACTCTGATATAAAGTTTAAAAGGAACGGAGTTCAAACTTAAAGGGCATATTTTGGACATGGTTTCAAATCGTAAAGTAAGAATTGAATTATAGTAATATGACTATGATTTAAAACATGATTTAAAATCGTAAAGTATGAATTGAATATAATGAGGATTTATCATTCATCAGAATGTGTCTGGATGTTCTTGATAAATTCAACGGAAATTCAGCTTCTACAAGTCAGATCCATGGTGTTGGATTATTTTATTTTTTACAAAAACAATTATGGACAATAATTTTGGAAATAATCACTGGCAATTGTCAACCCTGTACCGGCACTGGGGTAGAGGGCATAGGTCTCTGCCTAGGGTCCACACTGTGAGGAGAGGGGTAGAGGGCATAGGTCTCTGCCTAGGGTCCACACGGTGATGAGAGGGGTAGAGGGCATAGGTCTCTGTCTAGGGTCCACACGGTGATGAGAGGGGTAGCTGTTCCTCCAATCCTAGAAAACTCTTTGGTAAATCTGCAGTCCAATAATTTGCCTCCTCCTGCATCTTCTAGAGTAACTGGACCCGTTTCCATTAATTCTGTCCCTTCGGGTCCAGCATTTCGGACAACAAGGCGTCGTCTACAGGGTAGAATCAATCCTGCCCCTTAATAGGTTGCCTAGGGTTTTGAATATCACATGCTCCGGTATATGACTCAAGACACTAGCCTCAACCCGGACAATATTTCTAGGCAGTCTCAGGCCCTTAAGGCGTTATGCCGGATGGTTCATGGTAGGACCCCGGAGCAGATGGTAGAATCATTCAATTTAGGAGGGTGGCTCCCTTTGGATAGTCAGATTAGAGCTGCACATAGACCAGTTTTGGAGGCGGTATGGAGGAAGAATGGTTGGCCTGTCCTAGTAAGGATTAAATTAAATCCAATTAACTCCCCGGCATGTCTTCTCTATTGCCAGTGTATAATGGAAGATTGGGAAATTGAGGTGAACGAGGAGATCAATTTATCCTAATATTACCCAATCTGATTAAAACAGATCTATATTTCGTTTTGATTTTGTATACTTATCTTAATATTACAAGTAGTGAATGAAGGTGAATGCCACGATGTACATAATATACATCTAACAGTGCGATTGTGCGTGAATGAGTTTTGTATATATTCCTTCATTTCTTTCCCTTTTATACGCCCACATTTTCATGTGGACGTATATTGTCGTCGCCCCTGTCCGTCCGTCCGTCCACAATTGTTTGTGGACACTCTAAGGTCACAATTTTTATCCGATTTCAACGAAACTTGAACTATTGGTTTATCTCCCTAAGATCTCGGTTCCTTTTGGCATGTATCGGACCGTAACTTCATGGATTATGGCCCCTATTTGTAGGATAAATCACGTTTTTAGCTTATGGATCCTATAGAGGTCATAATTTTTAACCAATTTAAAAAACTGTTTGAATATATCACCGTTACACCCTAAGGGTGGTTGAGTTAGAATTTCGTAAAAATCGGACAAAAACTGACAGACAAAATGGCCGCCCCTTGTACTCAAATAGCGTAAAAATATGGTATATCAAGGCTGTGGACCCTCTAGAGGTTGCAATTTTCTTCTGATTTTGATGAAACTTGAAATGTAAGTTTATAACCCAAAGATCTTGGTTGCTTTCGATACTCACGCATATTGGGTCGTAACTTCCTGAATTATGCCCCCTGATTGAACGAAAATCACGTTTTTAGCTCAAGGCCCCTCTAGAGGTCACAATTATTATCCGATTTAAAAAAAACGTTTAAATATACTACCGTTTACCCTAAGGATGGTTGAGTTGGAATTTCGTAAAAATCGGACGTAAACTGACAGACAAAATGGCCCCCCATCGTACGCAAATAGTGTATAACATCTGGTATGTCAAAGTTGTGGACCCTCTAGAGGTCACAATTTTGATCGGATTTTGATGAAATTTGAAATACATGTTTATAACCAACACTGCCAGACACAATGGCCGCCCCTCATACGCAAGTAGTGTAAACATCAAGGTTGTAGACCCTCTAGAGGTCACAATTTCGATCCGATTTTGATGAAACTTGGTTCATGTCGATATTCGCGCATATCAGATAGTAATTTCCTAAATTATGGCCCCTGATTGTAAGAAAAATCGCGTTTTTAACTTGTGGTCACAATTATTATCCAATTTAAAACCAGCGGCTGCCAGGCAGGATACGCCCACATTTTCGAGAGATGGATAGAGAACAAGCTAACAAGAAAGTGATTTTTCCTACAATCAAGGGCCATAATTCAGGAAATTACAATTCGATATGCGCAAATATCGAAAGGAACTAAACGAACGGCAGCCATTTTGTCTGTCAGTCGTCCTCAGGGTGTAACGGTGATATAATAATACGTTTTTTTAAATCGGATAAAAATTATGACTTCTATAGGATCCACAATCTAAAAACACAATTTTTCGTACAATCAGGGGCCATAATTCAGGAAGTTACGGTGCGAATATCGAAAGGAACCAAGATCTTTGGGTTATAAACTTACATTTCAAGTTTCAACAAAATCGGATAAAAATTGTGACCTCTATAGGGTCCACAACCTTGATATACCATATTCTTGTGCTATTCCAGAACGAACGGCGGCCATTTTGTCTGTCAATTTTGGGCCGATTTTCACGAAATTCAAACTCAGTCGTCCTTAGGGTGTAACGGTGATATAATAATACGTTTTTTTAAATCGGATAAAAATTATGACCTCTATAGGGTCCACAAGCTAAAAACGCGATTTTTCGTACAATCAGGGGCCATAATTCAGGAAATTACGTCCGATATGCGCGAATATCGAAAGGAACCGAGATCTTTGGGTTATAAACTTACATTTCAAGTTTCAACAAAATCGGATAACAATTGTGACCTCTATAGGGTCCATAACCTTGATATACCATTTTCTTACGCTATTTGAGAACGAATGGTGGCCATTTTGTCTGTCAATTTTGTGCCGATTTTCACGAAATTCGAGTTCTGTCGTCCCTGGGGTGTAATGGTGATAGAATAGAACGGTTTTTTAAATTGGATAAAAATCATGACTTCTATAGGGTCCACAAGCTAAAAACGTGATTTTTCGTACAATCAGGGGCCATAATTCAGGAAGTTACGGTCTGATATGCATGAATATCGAAAGGAACCAAGATCTTTGGGTTATAAACTTACATTTCAAGTTTCAACAAAATCGGATAAAAATTGTGACCCCTATAGGGTCCACAACCTTGATATACCATATTCTTAAGCTATTTGGGAACGAACGGCGGCCATTTTGTCTGTCAATTTTGGGCCGATTTTCACGAAATTCGAACTCAGTCATCCTTAGGGTGTAACCGTGATAGAATAGAACGTTTTTTTAAATCGGATAAAAATTATGACTTGTATAGGGTCCACAAGCTAAAAACGTGATTTTTCGTACAATCAGGGGCCATAATTCAGGAAGTTACTGTCCGATATGCGCGAATATCGAAAGGAACTGAGATCTTTGGGTTATAAACTTACATTTCAAGTTTCAACAAAATCGGATCAAAATTGTGACCCCTATAGGGTCCACAACCTTGATATACCATATACAAATAGACAATTGTCAACAAAATAATGGTGAGGTGATTTTAGATTAAACAACACAACGATTATTATTTTAATACAAAACAATTACAATTACATATTGACAGCCTAATCACTCACCAAAATACATCACAGACTCTACGTATTACACAATAATCAACTAAATTGCGACGGAGCCCCTTTTAAATAAGACAAATTAGATTGATATTATTTCGGCACCATAATTAATTTTAAAACTAATTGTTGATTTAATTTCCGTACTTGAAATGGAAATAATCAACTCCAAATATGAGAATTCCAAATAAGAATCAATTTAGAATACCAAAATGCGAATCGTAACACGTGCACTCTTACCATGTTTTGTATACATGATTATTTACGTGTTACAGCACTGGTCTGTACCGTTATTTGATGTATTTTGTTTTTAATTCTCAATTTAACGTATGATTACGTCCAAGACAATTTGGTTTTTAATTTTTCATGAATAGAATATTTTCTAAAGTGTCCAAAAATTGTAAAATTATGTTGGAATATTCATACGTAAAGAAATTGAAAATATTATTTTAATACAAAACAATTACAATTACATATTGACAGCCTAATCACTCGCCAAAATACATCACAGACTCTACGTATTACACAATAATCAACTAAATTGCGACGGAGCCCCTTTTAAATAAGACAAATTAGATTGATATTATTTCGGCACCATAATTAATTTTAAAACTAATTGTTGATTTAATTTCCGTTCTTGAAATGGAAATAATCAACTCCAAATATGAGAATTCCAAATAAGAATCAATTTAGAATACCAAAATGCGAATCGTAACACGTGCATTCTTACCATGTTTTGTATACATGATTATTTACGTGTTACAGCACTGGTCTGTACCGTTATTTGATGTATTTTTTTTTTAATTCTCAATTTAACGTATGATTACGTCCAAGACAATTTGGTTTTTAATTTTTCATGAATAGAATATTTTCTGAAGTGTCAAAAAATTGTAAAATTATGTTGGAATATTCATACGTAAAGAAATTGAAAATATTTTAATGTTTTTTAAAATCTAGAAAAAATCATTCCACTCACCTGATACGGGTCCACAAGCCCAACATTGTCCCACCAAGTTACTGTCAGACATAATTTATTACCTACTTTTCCACTTGAAATCTTAACCAGTGTTTGGACAAAATATTAAGCCAAACAGAGTTAACTGTCCTTGGGGTTTTTGTGATGTGATAACTTTGATATAACTTTTATATATTACAGGAAACTAATGATGTTATAACTTTTATATTTTTAGGAAACTGATTATATAAAAATTCTCCATCAATGTGTTGTATGTGATGAGATTTTTCAACAATATGATGATTTAGAAAAACACAATAAGATGCATGTTAAAGATGTGAAAACTGCTGATGTAGATGAATATTGTCATATTAAAGAAGAGATAACTGATGATGTAGTTGGATATTGTCATATTAAAGAAGAGAAAACTGATGATGTAGATGAATATTGTCATGTTAAAGAAGAGAAAACTGAAGATATTGAAACTGTTTATCAGTGTAATTTGTGTGATGAAGAATTTAATTTAGAAACTGATTTAGAAAAACACTGTGAAATACATGTTAGTCAGCAAGGGCAAACAGGGGAAAAACCTTATAAATGTGATGTTTGTAGTAAATCATTTACTAATAGAAGTCAACTACAGAGACACATCAGAATTCATACAGGTGAAAAACCTTATAAATGTGATGTTTGTAGTAAATCATTTTGTAAGAAAAGTAATCTAAAGAGCCATATTAGACTTCATATTGGAGAAAAACCTTATAAATGTGGTTTTTGTGGTAAATCATTTATTCAGAATTATAGACTGAAGCACCACTTTAGAATTCATGCAGGAGAAATACATGTTAGTCGAACTGGACAAAGACCTTATAAATGTGATGTTTGTGGTAAATCCTTCAATTTGAAAGGTAATCTACAACAACACATCAGAATTCATACTGAAATAAAACCTTATCAATGTGATTATTGTGGTAAATCATTTAGACAGAATTATAATCTGCAGCACCACTTGAGAATTCACACTAGAGAAAAACCCTATAAATGTGATGTTTGTGATAAATCATTTAGTCAGAGTGGAACTCTACAGAACCACATGAGAATACATACTGGAACAAAACCTTATAAATGTGATGTTTGTAGTAAATCATTTAATCAGAATAGTCATCTACAGACACACATGAGAACTCATTCCGGAAAAAAACCATATAAATGTGATGTTTGTAGTAAATCATTTTGTAAAAAGTATAATCTAACGGAGCATATTAGAATTCATACAGGGGAAAAACCTTATAAATGTGATGTTTGTAGTAAATCATTTAATCAGAGTAGAAATCTACAGACACACATGAGAACTCATTCCGGAGAAAAAACCATATCAATGTGATGTTTGTCGTAAATCATTCAGACAAAAATATACTTTAGAAGTACATGCAAGAACTCATACTAGTGAAAAACCTTATAAATGTGATGTTTGTAGTAAATCATTTATTTCCAATGGGAATTTGCAGAAACACATAAAAATTCATACTAGAGCCTGATATTTGTAGTAAATCATTGACTTTCAGAATTTCTACTAACGAGGTGCCTAAAAACACATGCAGATGAAAAACCTTGTTAATTTGATGTTTATAGTAAATAATTTACAGAGACACATGAGAATTCATACTGAAGAAAAACCCTGTTAATTTGTTAATGTAATGTTTGTAGTAAATCATTTAAACTGTTATTGTAGTTTGGGAGTCTCAGTGGCTTAGCGGGTAAGACACTGGCTTGTTCAGCTTGAGGTCCAATGTTCGATCGCCGTGTTGACTGAGAAAATTCTTTTAAAAGTCATTTGAATGGTACACATTGGCGTGCACGTAAAAGAACCCGCAACAGAATTTGAAATAATAAAAAGCAGTGACACCACTGCCCGGGTCATATATCTCTCATAGAACACTACATTACATACGCCCATCTTCATGACCCCAGTTAGTGCAGGACGTTCAACCCCAGTTAATGCAGGACGTTCAACCCCATTTCATTCCACTCATCTACAAATTTGAGGCATCAAAATACGGTTTAACTTTAACATCCTATTGTTCTGCTCCGAATTGGGCGAATAAAGACGGGCATACGCCATACAGTGTGCTATCAGAGCTAATAAAGACGGGCATACGTCATACAGTGTGCTATGGGAGATATTTTGCCCGGACAGCGGCACTACGACCTACTCTTACATGTAGGAATAACAAATTATACCACCATTACAATACAAAACATACGACTAGGTAGGAATAACAGATTATACCAGCATTATAATAAAAACAACATACAACTAGGTAGGAATAACAAATTATACCAGCGTGTTTCACACATTTTTTTCAAAATAAACGCAAATATTGACGGACGCTGCATAATTTACATTCAGAAAATTTCCCTGATGTGAGAATAATTAGATTATTCTATGTCGTAGTTTGTACAATTTATGTGCTTCACCCGGCATTTACCCTACTGCACGTAGTATCCGTAGTTTTTTTATATTTCCTTTTAATTCATTCATAAGTTCATGGCAGTAAGCCTGATACAAGACTTGGGATTGGCTAGAACACGATATACTGTTTACATTCAGCCAATCAAATGTTGGCTTTCATAGTGATAGTTTTCTCTTTACGTCCTGTGGAAGTGAAAGATTGAAATGACTTTGCTGTCAACCACAGACATGCCAATAACCTCCAGTCGTCATTAGACTAAATACAGTAGGCATACCAATGAAATAAGGAAGCTTAAAATAGGGTTGTTCATAAAACAACTTTACATGCTTCTATATTGAGTATTTTGAGAGGCTCTAAGTCACGCAGATGTAAAATTTCCCTCATAGCACACTGTGGCGTATGCCCGTCTTCATTAGCCCAGGTTAGGAGCAGAACAGTAGGACGTTAAACCCCATTTCATTTCATTTCATTTCCGGACACCTGTTACCACTGTTTGTCGAGTATTTTGTACACAGTGAACAGTCCATATGCTGATTACACTATTTTGCCTTATTACACTATTTTGCCTATACCGTTTTTTAGGACTTCGAATTTTGTCTAATGGTTTGGATTGTTCGTACTTGGTTTTATTTTATTTAAAGTAGCTATGGTAATATAGCTTTATAGGATTAGCTAAAGTAATATAGCTTCAAAGTATATGGGGTAATATAGCTTTAAAGTGGCTTGGGTTATTAAGAGATAAACATTTCCATGTTTGGAATTTATCGGGGGGGGGGGGGTTCATGTTGCCTAATGTCCATTTAGACAGGCTTTTCAAATAGAACATATTTTCTTAGCAATGCAGACTATATTCGAATAAACGGAACATCTCAGTTTTCGGGATTTTAGACGGTCTAGTTTTGAAAAAGAGCGAAATATGATGAATGAAGTGAATTTCAGTGAAATAGCAATTTTGTGAACTATTCGGGTTGGAGAGATCCAGGACTATATCATGTATACAACCTTCTACCGGAAACGAATTCTTTTTTCGTGACGTAATATTTTACGGAAGCTAACGTTATTCTGCACTTCACTGAAGACTATTTTACTAAACAAAGAGCTATTTTCTATGACTTGTAGTTGTAGAAGAGACAGATCAGCAATCCCCTGCTGTGTTTTTATAATAAACAATTATCATTCAGTCACACAAGAGCTTCAGAAATAGACAACAGAAATTGTTAACAAAATAATGGTGAGTGATTTTGGATTTGTAGAGTTCGAGGGTCTTTCTATAAGTACCACTTGGTGTTCCAAGGCGTCCGCAATAATAACAATGTTACCTATTTGAAGTCTAAAGCATAATCTGAGCCGTAGCCACAACAAAACAGCAATATATAGGTTAAATGATAGCCTACCGCTGGTGGTATGGGACTCTGTGGAAAGTTGGAAGTAGTCCCGGTTATCCTGACGGACACCTGTATTGTACAGGGCAAAATCAACAGATTAAACAAAACAACACAACGATTTTTATTGACGGCCTAATCACTCTACGTATTACACAATAATCTAGCTTGAAAGGCGATAGATGAAATAGCTTTAATGTATCTATGGTAATATAGCCTTAAAGTAGTCGCTTGTGTGTTGTTGGCGTTGGATAGATCCATGACTATATTTAATATACAACTCGTAAGCCGTTCCCTACCGGAAATGACCTTTGAAACTAACAAAGACATGTTTTTATCTTCGTTATTTTCCCTTATTTGTTGAAACAGACTGAACCCCACGAAAGGACAACTTATTAGGCAACCAACCATTGACTGTAGCAGAACTTTACGAGTTCCCGTGGTCGTAGAGACTTGAAATTTCCAGTGGATATTCAGGGGGGATAGCCATGACCTCAGCCCAATTGATCAATAACTTTTCATTTTACCGACCCTTTAGGTTCTCATTAGAGATAAGTTTATCCGTTCAACTCCATTTTCTTTGTTGACTATAGGGGTTTAAGGTCACGTGACTTTAGCGTGAAATCGGACAGCCAGCGACTGAAATATAGCCCACTTCAATCTACGATTCTGAATTACTATTTTATGTAAATGTATTACTAGCAATTGTATTGTAATATCAATCTAAATATCTGCAAAGATTCAGACTAAAAAATTATCAAAATGTAAGCGAAATTATCGGTAATTTGCAGGAGAAGCTCCCAAGGAAAATACCGCTCTGACGTCCCTCGGCCTGGGATTTTCCATTGTTACGGCTCACTTCATTGGTTATTCTGCACCTTAGTTTCCGGGGGATTTCTATATAGAACCAATCAAACGATAGATGACATTTTTGTGATACCCCAAAATCCGACAATTACAGCCGTAGAAAACAGGATTTATCTGATTTGCTGACTGAAATTTTCTAAATTTCGACTAAATATAGCCTACTTTTTTTTTGGTGTCATCCAGATTATAAATATTTGACATATTATCATTCAAATTATTACCATATTAATAAATCTTAGCGGACGATAACGTGCAGATTTGAGTTTTAAAATTGTTACTAGTGATTCTGATGGGAAAATACTGCTTATGAGGTCACTCAGATATGACTGAAAAGCACTTATTTTGGTGCCATGGCACGCATTGACTGGTATAGAGCATTTTGATTACATTATTGATGTCGATCTCGAATTTTAAAATTCCATAACTTTGGATCTAATTAGAATTTTTTGATGAAATAAAAAAAAATGGGTAGCATTTTATATATATTTTCACAAAATATTTTTAAAGAATTTTTTTCTGTCATTTGAAACTTTGACCCGAAAACCCTATTGACTATTTAGACTCGAATAACAAGATACTAAGACGGAGTCCGACACACTGATGTTATAACTTTTATATATTACAGGAAACTGGTGATGTTAAAACATTTCATCAGTGTGTTGTATGTGATGAGGTTTTTAAACAATATGAAGATTTAGAAAAACACAATAAGATACATGTTAAAGAAGAGAAAACTGATGATGTAGATGGATATTGTCATGTTAAAGAAGAGAAAACTGATGATGTAGATGAATATTGCCATGTTAAAGAAGAGAAAACTGATGATATAGATGCATATTGTCATGTCAAAGAAGAGAAAACAGATGATATTGAAACTGTTTATCAGTGTAATTTGTGTGATGAAGAATTTAAATCTTACACTGATTTAGAAAAACACTGTGAAATACATGTTAGTCAGCAAGGGCAAACAGGAGATAAACGATATAAATGTGATGTTTGTAGTAAATCTTTCACTGCCAATGATACTCTACAGACCCACATGAGAATTCATACCGGGGAAAAACCTTATAAATGTGATGTTTGTGGTAAATCATTTACTCAGACTGGTCATTTGCAGAACCATATTCGAATTCACGCTGGTGAAAAACCTTATAAATGTGATGTTTGTGGTAAATCATTTAGTCAGAGTGGATCTCTACAGAGACACCTGAAAACTCATTCCGGAGTAAAACTTTATAAATGTGATGTTTGTGGTAAATCATTTAGTCAGAGTGGATCTCTACAGAGACACCTGAAAACTCATTCCGGAGTAAAATCTTATAAATGTGATGTTTGTGGTAAATCATTTCGTCAGACTGGTCATCTACAGAACCATATTCGAATTCACGCTGTAGAAAAACCTTATAAATGTTATGTTTGTAGAAAATCATTCTCACAGAATATTAATCTACAGTCACACCTGAAAACTCATTCCAGAGGAAAACCTTATAAATGTGATGTTTCTGGTAAATCATTTGGTCAGAGTGGAACTCTAAGGGATCACATGAAAACTAATTCTAGAGGAAAACCTTATAAATGTGATGTTTGTGGTAAATCATTTTGTAAGAAATATGATCTAAAGATTCATATCAGAATTCATACTGGTGAAAAACCTTATAAATGTGATGTTTGTAGTAAATCATTCCCCACCAATGGTAATCTACAGACACACATGAGAATACATACTGGAACAAAACCTTATAAATGTGATGTTTGTGGTAAATCATTTAGTCAGAGAGGAACTCTACAGACACACATGAAAACTCATTTCGGAAAAAAATCTTATAATTGCTCGCCAATGTTTTTATAATAAAGTAGCCTCATATTATTTGTTGATTGGCGTTTAAACAACATTTAATTGACTTGATATGAAATCTGAATATAAATTATTCAATGGATAAACGTTTGTGATAGGATAAGGTTATAATGTCTATCATCGTTTATAATATTTTTATAATAAAGGTATTTTACAATTACATTGACAGTTTAATAACTCACCGAACGACATCAGGAACTCCACGTATGATCAAGTGTATTTGATATTCATGTCCATGAATCCCGTGCAATTTTCGCGTCAAAGTTTAACCACATTGTAATAAGATTCCCAGCGTTGATTGGATGAGAAATGAGGGCGATCTATTGTTATGCATAGTCATCGGAAAATTCCATATTAAATTCACTCTAAAATATTCCAATCACAAATGTCTAATCTATAACAATGTAAGACAATAATTCGGTGATTATGATTAGGCCAGTCATGTGGTAATTGGACCGTCAATAGAAGCTTGTCAACTGGTGGTATGTATGATAGTGCCAGTCCTTCATGTTTATAAAATGGTGCGGGAGCCATAAAAAGCTCCTGATACCTTGAATATATGCAGTTTATAAGTAAACAAAAACTGAAAGTAGTTTATTAATCTCAATATTTGGGAGAGGGATTTAGCTAATTTGCAGGAGTCTTTAATGACTCCTTCGAAGGAAAGCGAAAGCTCCCCTTAAACGTGAAGGACTGTAGTGCTATATTGTACACACAGTGAGATATTGTATAGATAATGTATATCCTATGTGTAGTGCCTGTGACGTCACCAGCCAATCAACCGGATTACGGTCGTAATTGAAAAATTGAAAAGCGTTTTGGCGTGTCGGATACTTAAACGTTAACAGCGGACTTAATTTTAATCAGATTGGTGTGAACTTGCCGTAAAGTTGATATAGTAACCATTGGCTATACGTACATGAAGTTTAGATTTTTCGTCTTATGTGGTCTTTAAAATATGATGTTTGTAGTAAATCATTTAATCAGAGTAGTGGACTAATTTAATCAGAGTAGTGGACTAATTTAATCAGAGTAGTGGACTACAGTCACACCAGAGAACGCATACTGAGGAGAAACTACACAGATATAAATGTGATATTTGTGGTGAATCGATTAATTCCAAAAGGAATTTGCAGCAACATGTGAAAATTCATATTGTAGTGTAACTAGTGTAGCAAATATAAAGACATAAACTTTTATTGTAGTTTGGGAATCTCAGTGGCTTAGTGGGTAAGACACTGGCTCGTTCAACTTGAGGTACAATGTGCGATCTGTATTGGGATTGAACATGATACTAACTCAACTTTAGATCACAAAATCTGTCACTTAGACATTTCCAGTCACGTTTATACATGTATGGTGTTGGGTTTTAGGGGGGTTGGATGGCCGAATGGTTAGTATGTGCGCGCTGTATCATACGCCTTGAGTCATTGAGTCAACTCGTGTGGTTTCGATTCCCCAGTTGTACGTGACAAGGAGAAGGGTCGTCTGTCCAACCTCGTGGGTTTTCTCTGGGTCCTCCGGTTTCCTCCCACTGCTAAAGACCCCTACGTGCAAGCGTATTATTGAAATAAAATTTAACCATATGTTAGTCCCGAAATGACCTAGTGTGTCAAGTGGACGTTAAACTCCATTTCTCTTCCCTCCCTGTCATTGAGTCAAGTTAAGTGGTTTCAATCCTACACATGACAAGTGCTAGGGTCGCCTGTCTACCAACCTTTTGGAATTTCTCCCTCATTGCTAAAGACCCCTACTCTCAACCGAATTATTGAAATAAAATTGAACAAAATGTTAGTCCCTCTCCCACCCCCCTTTTTTGGGGTCTAACATTCCTTTTAGAGATCATAAGGTTTGTCATTCAGTCAACTGGCATGGTTTTGATTCCCGATGGTACAAATTCTTTCGGATATATTTGATTTATTTAATATTATTACAAATTATATATACACATGAACAAATTCCTTTATATACTTTTTCCGATACACTTTAGGATCTTCAATCTTGAAGAAATATAGGCACAACTACCGTTCATTTTGCCATGATATCTACATGTAGACTACATGCATCTGACAGACGAGTGGATGGAATCAGACAATCGCTATGTGTGGAGTCATTTGTTCTGTATAAGGAGAAAGAGAGAGAGAAATGGGGTTTAACGTCCACTCGACACAAACTAGGTCATTTCGGGACTAACACTTGGTTTTTGATTTTATTTACATAATTCGCTTGCGCGTAGAGGTCTTTAGCAGTGGGAGGAAACCGGAGGACCCGGAGAAAACCCACGAGGTTGGACAGGCGACCCTACTCCTTGCCACGTACAACCGGGGATTCGAAACCACGCCAGTCGACTCAATGACAGACTTTATGATACAGCGCGCGCACGCTAACCATTCAGCCATCCAACCCCCCCTGTATAAGGAGAAGATGTTTATAAGTTGTTAGAACTTTTGTTTAATCCTTGTGTACAATGAAATGTTGATGCAATAAAATAAGTTTAAACTATAGTTTCTAGATCATGTTTATATTTGATATCAATTAATAAAGATTATATATTGACTTTGTTTAGTTTTATGTTGTTATTAAAAACAACATATGACTAGGGGGTCGAAATAACAGATTATACCAGCATTACAATAAAAACAACATACGACTAGGTAGGAATAACAGATTATAACAGCATTACCATAAAAACAACATATGACTAGGTAGATATAACAGATTATACCACCATTACAATAAAAACAACATACAACTAGGTAGGAATAACAGATTATAACAGCATTACAATAAAAACAACATATGACTAGGTAGAAATAACAGATTATACCAGCATTACAATAAAAACAACATACGACTCGGTAGAAATAAAAAATTATACCAGCATTACAATACAACAACATACAACTAGGTAGAAATAACAAATTATACAACCATTACAATACAAACAACATACGACTAGGTAGGAATAACAGATTATACCACCATTACAATAAAAACAACATACCACTAGGTAGGAATAACAAATTATACCAGCATTACAATAAAAACAACATACGACTCGGTAGGAATAACAAGTTATACCACCATTACAATAAAAAAAAACATACGACTAGGTAGGAATAACAAATTATACCAGCATTACAATAAAAATAAAATATGACTAGGTAGAAATAACAGATTATACTAGCATTACAATACAACAACATACAACTAGGTAGAAATAACAGATTATTATAACAGCATTACAATAAAAACACATGACTAGGTAGAAATAACAGATTATACCAGCATTATAATAAAACAACATATGACTCGGTAGGAATAACAGATTATACCACCATTACAATAAAAAACCAACATACGACTCGTTAGGAATAACAAATTATACCACCATTACAATAAACACAACATACGACTCCGTAGGAATAACAAATTGTACCAGCATTACAATAAACAACATATGACTAGATAGGAATAACAAATTGTACCAGCATTACAATAAAAAAAACTCAGTAGTTAGGGTGATATAACCTTAAATTAGCTATGGTAATATAGCTTTAAAGTAGATGAAGTAATATAACTTTTAAGAATCTAGGGCAATATAGCTTTATGGTAGCTGAAATAATATAACTTTAAAGTAAATGAGGAATAGAACTTTAAAGTGGCAATGGTAATATAATTAGGTTATATAACTTTAATTGGACTAGGGTTATGTAGCTTTAAAGTGTCTAGGGTAATATAGCTTTATAGGATCTAAGGTAACATAGCTTCAAAGTATCTGGGGTAATATAACTTTAAAGTATCTGGGGCAATATAGCTTTAAAGTGGCTTGGGTAATTAAGAGATAAACATTTTCATGTTTTGAATTTATCGGGCGGGGGGGGGGGGGGGTACATGTCACCTAATGGCAATTTAGACAGGCTTTTCAAATAGGTTATATTTTCTTAACAATTCAGACTACATTCGAATAAACGGAACATTTCAGTTTTCGGGAATTTAGACGGTCTAGTTTTTGAAACAAGAGCGAAATATGATGAATGATGTGAATTTCAATGAAATAGCATTTTTGTGAACTATTCGGGTTGGAGAGATCCAGAACTATATCATGTATACAACCTTCTACCGGAAACGAATTCTATTTCCGTGACGTAATATTTTACGAACGCTAACGTTATTCTGCACTTCAATGAAGACTTGTTTACTAAATGAAGATCTATTTACTTGACTTGTAGTTGTAGAAGAGACAGATCAGCTATCCTGTGTAACAACAGATTCACAAATAGACAATTGTCAACAAAATAATGGTGAGTTGATTTTAGATTAAACAACACAACGATTATTATTTTAATACAAAACAATTACAATTACATATTGACAGCCTAATCACTCGCCAAAATACATCACAGACTCTACGTGTTACACAATAATCAACTAAATTGCGACGGAGCCCCTTTTAAATAAGACAAATTAGATTAATATTATTTCGGCACCATAATTAATTTTAAAACTAATTGTTGATTTAATTTCCGTACTTGAAATGGAAATAATCAACTCCAAATATGAGAATTCCAAATAAGAATCGTAACACGTGCACTCTTACCATGTTTTGTATACATGATTATTTACGTGTTACAGCACTGGTCTGTACCGTTATTTGATGTATTTTTTTTTTAATTCTCAATTTAACGTATGATTACGTCCAAGACAATTTGGTTTTTAATTTTTCATAAATAGAATATTTTCTGAAGTGTCAAAAAATTGTAAAATTATGTTGGAATATTCATACGTAAAGAAATTGAAAATATTTTAATGTTTTTTAAAATCTAGAAAAAATCATTCCACTCACCTGATACGGGTCCACAAGCCCAACATTGTCCCACCAAGTTACTGTCAGACATAATTTATCACCTACTTTTCCACTTGAAATCTTAACCAGTGTTTGGACAAAATATTAAGCCAAACAGAGTTAACTGTCCTTGGGGTTTTTGTGATGTGATAACTTTGATATAACTTTTATATATTACAGGAAACTAATGATGTTATAACTTTTATATACTACAGGAAACTAATGATGTTATAACTTTTATATATAACAGGAAACTAATGATGTTATAACTTTTGTATATTACAGGAAACTAATGATGTTATAACTTTTATATATTACAGGAAACTAATGATGTTATAACTTTTATATTTTTAGGAAACTGATTATATAAAAATTCTCCATCAATGTGTTGTATGTGATGAGATTTTTCAACAATATGATGATTTAGAAAAACACAATAAGATGCATGTTAAAGATGTGAAAACTGCTGATGTAGATGAATATTGTCATATTAAAGGAAAGAAAACTGATGATGTAGATGAATATTGCCATGTTAAAGAAGGGAAAACTGATGATGTAGATGAATATTGTCATGTTAAAGAAGAGAAAACTGATGATGTAGGTGAATATTGTCATATTAAAGAAGAGAAAACTGATGATGTTGATGAATATTGTCATATTAAAGAAGAGAAAACTGATGATGTTGATGAATATTGTCATGTTAAAGAAGAGAAAACCAATGATGTAGATGAATATTGTCATGTTAAAGAAGAGAAAACTGATGATGTAGATGAATATTGTCATGTTAAAGAAGAGAAAACTGATGATATATTTGGATATTGGCATGTTAAAGAAGAGAAAACTGATGATATTGAAACTGTTTATCAGTGTAATTTGTGTGATGAAGAATTTAAATTCGAAACAGATTTAGAAAAACACTGTGAAATACATGTTAGTCAGCAAGGGCAAACAGGAGAAAAACCTTATAAATGCGATGTTTGTAGTAAATCATTTAGTCAGAATGGTAGTCGACAGAGACACATGAGAATTCATACTGGTGAAAAACCTTTTAATTGTGATGTTTGTAGTAAATCATTTACTACTGGTGGTCATCTACAGAGACACACAAGAATTCACACTGGTGCAAAACATTATAAATGTGATGTTTGTTGTGAATCATTTACTCAGAGTGGAACTCTACAGAGACACATGAGAATTCATACTGGTGAAAAACCTTTTAATTGTGATGTTTGTAGTAAATCATTTACTACTAGTAGTAATCTACAGACTCACAGGAGAATTCATACAGGTGACAAACCTTATAAATGTGATATTTGTAGTAAATCATTTACTGATAGTAGTCATCTACAGGTACACATGAGAATTCATACAGGTGAAAAACCTTATAAATGTGATATTTGTAATAAAACATTTATACAGAAAGGCAATCTAAATTTACACATGAAAAGTCATACAGACGAGAAACAATTTAAATGCGATGTTTGTAGAAAATTTTTAACTACCAGTACTAAATTACGAACACACATGAGGGTTCATACAGGTGAAAAACCTTATAAATGTAATGTTTGTAGTAAATCATTCACCACTAATGGTAATCTACAGACACACATGAGAAATCATACTAGAGAAAAAAACGTTTAATTGTGATGTCTGTAGTAAATCATTTTCTGACAGCAGTATTCTGCAGAAACACATTAGAATTCAGACTGGGGAAAAAATTCTTTTAGATGTGATGTTTGTTAAATTAAAAAAGAGTAATCAATAAAATGTAAATGAAATGAAATGTGGTTTTACATCCTACTGTTTAAAACCTTGAACTAAAATAAAAAAGAGTAATCAATAAAATGAAATGAAAGAGTAATCAATAAAATGAAATGGGGGTTTAACGTCCTACTGTTCTGCTCCGAACTGAGCTGAAGAAGGGTATATGCCATACAGTGTGCTATGAGGGAAATTTTGCAGCACTATATCGAATTCCAACTGCCAAGGGATCTTTTACTTGGTTTTTCGTCTGACAAAGGGAACCACATCGGAATAAAAATAGTAATCAAAGCCACACTTTAAAGTTTTACGGGTTCATTACAACAATTATGATTAGGGAAAGAAGATTTATTACATTAGCATGAGTTTTAAATGGTTAGAAAGAATATACCAAGGTATTGGGATATTTACTGGAACCAAAAAGATTTATTACATTAGCATGAGCTTTCAATAATTACATAGAATACACCAAGGTATTGGGATATTTACTGGAACCAAAAAGATTTATTACATTAGCATGAGCTTTCAATAATTGCATAGAATATACCAAGGTATTAGGATATCTACTGGATCCAAAAAGATTTAAAATGGCTTCAGCCACTACTCTGATATAAAGTTTTAAAGGAACGGAGTTAAAACTTAAAGGGCATATTTGGGACATGGTTTCAAATCGTAAAGTAAGAATTGAATTATAGTAATATGATGATGATTTAAAACATGATTTAAAATCGTAAAGTATGAATTGAATATAATGAGGATTTATCATTCATCAGAATGTGTCTGGATGTTCTTGATAAATTCAACGGAAATTCAGCTTCTACAAGGCAGATCCATGGTGTTGGATTATTTTATTTTTTACAGAAACAATTATGGACAATAGTTTTGGAAATAATCACTGGCAATTGTCAACCCTGTACCGGCACTGGGGTAGAGGGCATAGGTCTCTGCCTAGTGTCCACACTGTGAGGAGAGGGGTAGAGGGCATAGGTCTCTGCCTAGGGTCCACACGGTGATGAGAGGGGTAGAGGGCATAGGTCTCTGTCTAGGGTCCACACGGTGATGAGAGGGGTAGCTGTTCCTCCAATCCTAGAAAACTCTTTGGTAAATCTGCAGTCCAATAATTTGCCTCCTCCTGCATCTTCAGGGTAGAATCAATCCTGCCCCTTAATAGGTTGCCTAGGGTTTTGAATATCACATGCTCCGGTATATGACTCAAGACACTAGCCTCAACCCGGACAATATTTCTAGGCAGTCTCAGGCCCTTAAGGCGTTATGCCGGATGGTTCATGGTAGGACCCCGGAGCAGATGGTAGAATCATTCAATTTAGGAGGGTGGCTCCCTTTGGATAGTCAGATTAGAGCTGCACAAAGACCGGTTTTGGAGGCGGTATGTAGGAAGAATGGTTGGCCTGTCCTAGTAAGGATTAAATTAAATCCAATTACCTCCCCGGCATGTCTTCTCTATTGCCAGTGTATAATGGAAGATTGGGAAATTGAGGTGAACGAGGAGATCAATTTATCCTAATATTACCCAATCTGATTAATTTCTCTGCAAGATCTTAATTCCTTCATATTTTATTTATAATTATGTCTTAATAATGTCCAAATTAGACAGTTAGCTGCTGCAGAATGTTCTTCAAGTTAGAACGGGAACTCCTTTCCAGCTCTTGGGAGAAGACATATAAATATTCTGATTTTATTTATTTTTTAAAATCTTATCCAATAGCTTCTGTTTTTAAAATAATACAGTTATCAATATTGATGTCATGATTATTGGAAAATAATGGTTTTCGGAAAAAAAATAAATGTGGTTGCTATGGTAACCACTCAAACTCCTTAATATTTTGCTCAAACTTATACAATCCATATCATTTGATATTACATGGGTTTCAAATATTTTAAAATGCTTATTTTTAAAAGTGGTGATCACCTTTTGGGTTATGGTAAATAGCGTTGAAAATGGTCAAAAATTGCATTTTTTCCATTTTGGTTTCTATGACAACCAAAATCGATAATATATGGCAGATTGGAAATATGTAATTTTAAAAATTCACAAACCTTTTGACATATTCCCATAATTTCACTTCCCTATCTCCATTCCTTCTTATTTTACTAAGGTCACCAAAATGCCCCAAAAATAGGCAATTGTTCAAAATTGAACACATATCCAGCCCTTGAGAGAAGGCATATAGATATTTTTACTATTTTTTTTCTGTTAATCTTACTTGATAGATACTGATTTTAAAATGCATAACAACCAGGTTCAATATTTCAGATATAACATGCACAAGACCATTTTTGATGAAAAAATTGACCAAAATCGCTCTGAGAAAATGGAATTTTTGGGAAAACTTAGGTATTTTCCAGTTCCTGTGGAATTCGGTGTAATTGTTACAAAAATGTGAAAATCGAAACATAAGTAGCCTTGAAGTTGTATTTCATGAATTTACATCTACATTGTAGATAGTTTTGATATGAAATGAAATATGGCATCGCAAAAAACACCAAAAATGACCTTTTGAAAGTGTTGAAAAACCTTTCTTCCGCGAAAAGTCAAAAATCGCAACTTTGAACCTCAATAAAAAAAAAATTTTCATCCGATTTTGAATCTGTAAAAAGTTTTGTGAGAAGAATGATGAGATCTACATGAAAAGCTAATAATAACATATGTATAATCATAATCTCAAAATCACCTTTTCCACCTACTTAAAGTAGTCGCTTGTGTGTTGTTGGCGTTGGATAGATCCATGACTATATTTAATATACAACTTGTAAGCCGTTCTCTACCGGAAATGACCTTTGAAACTAACAAAGCCATGTTTTTATCTTCGTTATTTTCCCTTATTTGTTGAAACAGACTGAACCCCACGAAAGGACAACTTATTAGGCAACCAACCATTGACTGTAGCAGAACTTTACAAACTAAATAATGGCGAGTATTACTGTTTCGTTTAGAATTTTGTTTGTAATGTTCATCTTGCCATATATATATCACCTTTCGCACCTTTCTACGAGTTCCCGTGGTCGTAGAGACTTGAAATTTCTAGGGGATGTTCAAGGGGGGATAGCCATGACCTCAGCCCAATTGATCAATAACTTTTCATTTTACCGACCCTTTAGGTTCCCATTAGAGATAAGTTTATCCGTTCCACTCCATTTTCTTTGTTGACTATAGGGGTTTAAGGTCACATGACTTTAGCATGAAATCGGACAGCCAGCGGCTGAAATATAGCCCACTTCAATCTACGTTTCTGAATTACTATTTTATGTAAATGTATTACTAGCAATTGTATTGTAATATCAATCTAAATATCTGCAAAGATTCAGACTAAAAAATTATCGAAATGTAAGCGAAATTATCGGTAATTTGCAGGAGAAGCTCCCAAGGAAAATACCGCTCTGACGTCCCTCGGCCTGGGATTTTCCATTGTTACGGCTCACTTCATTGGTTATTCTGCACCTTAGTTTCCGGGGGATTTCTATATAGAACCAATCAAACGATGGATTACATTTTTGTGATACCCCAAAATCCGACAATTACAGCCGTAGAAAACAGGATTTATCTGATTTGCTGACTGAAATTTTCTAAATTTCGACTAAATATAACCTACTTTTTTTTTGGTGTCATCCAGATTATAAATATTTGACATATTATCATTCAAATTATTACCATATTAATAAATCTTAGCGGACTATAACATGCAGATTTGAGTTTTAAAATTGTTACTAGTGATTCCGATGGGAAAATACCGCTTATGACGTCACTCAGATATGACTGAAAAGCACTTATTTTGGTGCCATGGCACGCATTGACTGGTATAGAGCATTTTGATAACATTATTGATGTCGATCTCGAATTTTAAAATCCCATAACTTTGGATCTAATTAGAATTTTTTGATGAAATAAAAAAAATGGGTAGCATTTTATATTTTTAAAAAAATTTTTTTCTGTCATTTGAAACTTTGACCCGAAAACCCTATTGACTATTTAGACTCGAATAACAAGATACAGTGGACTCTGTCACATCCAACATCGTGCGGGATCGTTACAATAATTCGGATCACACAGCGTTTCGGAATACCGAGTTTTCTCCAAAACCGAAAATACTGTAACTTCGAAAACCGGAAGTATTTTTATATTGTAGCTTCGAATCACCAGAATGCTATTCCCTTTATAAATGATAAACTTTTCTGTACTTTCAAAATTTTATTATATTAAATAATTAACAATAACAATGCATGCGTACAATATATTCATAAATAGTTTACATGTAATATCAATGCATGCGTAGACTACAATATATTTATAAATATCAATGCATGTAATCGTTTAAAGTAGTTTGCTTAGTTAAGATTACCGGAAGCATATCGTAAAGCGGAGTCCTGGGCAAAACATCTTCTAACAAATGAATTGTTGCGATCATCTTTTCGTCCTTAATCTGTGCGAAGTGTTTAATGTCGTTGAGCATGCGTAGGAATTTTGAATAGGTCAAGTCTGTCGTTAATGTATATTCTTCATCGTCCCCGTCTTCAGTTAATTGTCATTTATAATCTGTCGTTCTATGTCCAGCTTTTCAAGCCAATCAAAGTAAACGGCACCTGTCATCCAAGTTTTGCGATTGGCCGACCAATTGACTGGCAGGTAGATCTTGTCCACTCCCTTAACCCTCTCGTTACGTAAGCGCCCGAAACCGCCCTAACGTCCTCTACGGGATCGCCCGATGTCGCCCGAAATGACGGTCGGTAAAACTCGGTAATTTTCCACTCGGAACAAAACTCTCACGTGACTAACGACAACTGGAGTGCACTGTAAACATAGCAGTATTCAAAATGGCGGCCTCCGTGAAATTTTTTATATTGAAGAGTTTTGTGTAAAAATGAAGGTTTTTCGTTGAATTTTTGAATGGCGTCATCGGATTCAGACGGCGATTTTAATGGATTCGATTCTTATGACGTTGAATGTGCCGAATTGAAGCAAAAAGAGGTAATAAATGACCGTGAATTGGATGATAATTTTGACGATGAAAGTGACATTGAAATTGAACAAGGACTGGAATACGATTCGTCTGGAGAGTCTAGCAGCGAAAATGATGACTTTGAGGACATATAAATAAATAAATAACATAAATCCAATCCATTGAAGTCGCCGCCCGAATTTGATGATAGCACCCAGAAACTCAACAAAAAATTGTTTATTTTTGTATATTGAGCTTTTTCAATGGAATACATGTTAACACCATTAAGCCTTAAAAACTACAGCTTTGTACATTAATATTAAGTTAAATAAGTCAAGGTAAGCAAAATATGTCGACAACCTAACGGTTTCCTCCGTCGCAACAATCACAGTACGGTTGACGACTTTGTTACTCTTTTACTAAAATGGTTGCCATTTTTTTATTTACCATCAGATTTTCAAAAATATTGTACCATTGTGAAGGAAATTAAATTCTCCTTAAAATGAAATTAACTTGTCAGATTAATTTTGAACTTTGTAGCATTAAGTTTTTCTCCAAAGGTTATCTTGAAAAAAATTTCAAATTTTTTTTCAGATACATCTTATGATACATAAGTAGTGATGAGAGATGCATATTTCTAGTTGACTCCATTGGAAAGAGAATTCAATTTCCTTTCAGAAAATCATAACTTGTCTTCTTTGAAAGTTGATAGGTTTTGAGCTATAATCACATGAACATTTCGCATATTTTTTCGACGTTTTTTCTGAATATTGTCAGGATTTGGCGTCATACATTATAAAACACACTAGTAATGAAAGGGTTAAAACAACTCGGGTTCACTGCTTTACCGATCAAAGTAATCAACACAGTTTTAATCTCACCGATAATTGATTGGTGATTACTTGTTAATCTTTTCTGACTTCACACCCATTGAGTTTTAATCTCACCGATAATTGTACGGTGTCGATTTAATGGAAATTATGTGACAGGACGGCTGATTGATTTCGGAATCCTGAACATACAGAATTCGGATTTACCAGCGATTTTTTGGCTGAAGTAATAAGGAAATAAATCGGGACATGAAAATCATACCGGATGTCACAGCAATCCGGAGTGATCAGAGATCGGATGTGACAGAGTCCACTGTACTAAGACGGAGTCCGACACACTGATGTTATAACTTTTATATATTACAGGAAACTGGTGATGTTAAAACATTTCATCAGTGTGTTGTATGTGATGAGGTTTTTAAACAATATGATGATTTAGAAAAACACAATAAAATACATGTTAAAGATGAGAAAACTGATGATGTAGATGAATATTGCCATGTTAACGAAGAGAAAGCTGATGATGTAGATGGATATTGTCATGTTAAAGAAAAGAAAACTGATGATGTAGATGAATATTGTCATGTTAAAGAAGAGAAAACTGATGATAAAGATGGATATTGCCATGTTAAAGAACAGAAAACTGATGATGTAGATGAATATTGTCATGTTAAAAAAGAGAAAACAGATGATATTGAAACTGTTTATCAGTGTAATTTGTGTGATGAAGAATTTAAATCTTACACTGATTTAGAAAAACACTGTGAAATACATGTTAGTCAGCAAGGCCAAACAGGAGATAAACGATATAAATGTGATGTTTGTAGTAAATCTTTCACTGCCAATGATACTCTACAGACCCACATGAGAATTCATACTGGTGAAAAACCTTATAAATGTGATGTTTGTAGTAAATCATTTACTCAGACTGGTCATTTGCAGAACCATATTCGAATTCACGCTGGAGAAAAACCTTATAAATGTGATGTTTGTGGTAAATCATTTAGTCAGAAAGGAACTCTACAGACACATATGAGAATACATACTGGTGAAAAACCTTATAAATGTGATGTTTGTAGTAAATCATTTACTACTAGTAGTCAGCTACAGAAGCACATCAGAATTCATACTGGTGAAAAACCATATAAATGTGATGTTTGTAGTAAATCATTTACTCAGCGTGGAACTCTACAGAGACACATGAGAATTCATACAGGTGAAAAACCTTTTAAATGTGATATTTGTAATAAATCATTTACTAATAGTAATCTACAGCATCATACCAGAACTCATACAGGTGAAAAACCTTATAAATGTGATATTTGTAGTAAATCATTTACTGATAGTAGTACTCTACAGACACACATAAGAATTCATACAGGTGAAAAAACTTTTAAATGTGATGTTTGTAGTAAATCATTCACCACTAATGGTAATCTACAGTCACACATAAGAATTCATACTAGAGAAAAAAACGTTTAAATGTGATGTCTGTAGTAAATCATTTTCGGACAGCAGTATTCTGCAGAAACACATTAGAATTCATACTGGGGAAAAAAATCTTTTAGATGTGATGTTTGTTAAATTAAAAAAGAGTAATCAATAAAATGTAAATGAAATGAAATGTGGTTTTACATCCTACTGTTTAAAACCTTGAACTAAAATAAAAAAGAGTAATCAATAAAATGAAATGAAAGAGTAATCAATAAAATGAAATGAAAGAGTAATCAATAAAATGAAATGGGGTTTAACGTCCTACTGTTCTGCTCCGAACTGAGCTGAAGAAGGGCATATGCCATACAGTGTGCTATGAGGGAAATTTTGCAGCACTATGGCCTAGTCTTATATCGAATTCCAACTGCCAAGGGATCTTTTACTTGGTTTTTCGTCACATGCGAGTGACTAGACAACTGTCCGTGACGGGCCTTCTGTCCTGCCACACTGACATAGGGAACCACATCGGAATAAAAATAGTAATCAAAGCCACATTTTAAAGTTTTAGGGGTTCATTACAACAATTATGATTAGGGAAAGAAGATTTATTACATTAGCATGAGTTTTAAATGGTTAGAAAGAATATACCATGGTATTGGGATATTTACTGGAACCAAAAAGATTTATTACATTAGCATGAGTTTTAAATAATTACATAGAATATACCAAGGTATTAGGATATCTACTGGAACCAAAAAGATTTATTACATTAGCATGAGCTTTCAATAATTGCATAGAATATACCAAGGTATTGGGATATTTACTGGAACCAAAAAGATTTATTACATTAGCATGAGCTTTCAATAATTGCATAGAATATACCAAGGTATTAGGATATCTACTGGATCCAAAAAGATTTAAAATGGCTTCAGCCACAACTCTGATATAAAGTTTAAAAGGAACGGAGTTCAAACTTAAAGGGCATATTTTGGACATGGTTTCAAATCGTAAAGTAAGAATTGAATTATAGTAATATGATGATGATTTAAAACATGATTTAAAATCGTAAAGTATGAATTGAATATAATGAGGATTTATCATTCATCAGAATGTGTCTGGATGTTCTTGATAAATTCAACGGAAATTCAGCTTCTACAAGTCAGATCCATGGTGTTGGATTATTTTATTTTTTACAAAAACAATTATGGACAATAATTTTGGAAATAATCACTGGCAATTGTCAACCCTGTACCGGCACTGGGGTAGAGGGCATAGGTCTCTGCCTAGGGTCCACACGGTGATGAGAGGGGTAGAGGGCATAGGTCTCTGTCTAGGGTCCACACGGTGATGAGAGGGGTAGCTGTTCCTCCAATCCTAGAAAACTCTTTGGTAAATCTGCAGTCCAATAATTTGCCTCCTCCTGCATCTTCTAGAGTAACTGGACCCGTTTCCATTAATTCTGTCCCTTCGGGTCCAGCATTTCGGACAACAAGGCGTCGTCTACAGGGTAGAATCAATCCTGCCCCTTAATAGGTTGCCTAGGGTTTTGAATATCACATGCTCCGGTATATGACTCAAGACACTAGCCTCAACCCGGACAATATTTCTAGGCAGTCTCAGGCCCTTAAGGCGTTATGCCGGATGGTTCATGGTAGGACCCCGGAGCAGATGGTAGAATCATTCAATTTAGGAGGGTGGCTCCCTTTGGATAGTCAGATTAGAGCTGCACATAGACCGGTTTTGGAGGCGGTATGGAGGAAGAATGGTTGGCCTGTCATAGTAAGGATTAAATTAAATCCAATTAACTCCCCGGCATGTCTTCTCTATTGCCAGTGTATAATGGAAGATTGGGAAATTGAGGTGAACGAGGAGATCAATTTATCCTAATATTACCCAATCTGATTAAAACAGATCTATATTTCGTTTTGATTTTGTATACTTATCTTAATATTACAAGTAGTGAATGAAGGTGAATGCCACGATGTACATAATATACATCTAACAGTGCGATTGTGCGTGAATGAGTTTTGTATATATTCCTTCATTTCTTTCCCTTTTATACGCCCACATTTTCATGTGGACGTATATTGTCGTCGCCCCTGTCCGTCCGTCCGTCCACAATTGTTTGTGGACACTCTAAGGTCACAATTTTTATCCGATTTCAACGAAACTTGAACTATTGGTTTATCTCCCTAAGATCTCGGTTCCTTTCGATATTGGCATGTATCGGACCGTAACTTCATGGATTATGGCCCCTATTTGTAGGATAAATCACGTTTTTAGCTTATGGATCCTATAGAGGTCATAATTTTTAACCAATTTAAAAAACTGTTTGAATATATCACCGTTACACCCTAAGGGTGGTTGAGTTAGAATTTCGTAAAAATCGGACAAAAACTGACAGACAAAATGGCCGCCCCTTGTACTCAAATAGCGTAAAAATATGGTATATCAAGGCTGTGGACCCTCTAGAGGTTGCAATTTTCTTCTGATTTTGATGAAACTTGAAATGTAAGTTTATAACCCAAAGATCTTGGTTGCTTTCGATACTCGCGCATATTGGGTCGTAACTTCCTGAATTATGCCCCCTGATTGAACGAAAAACACGTTTTTAGCTCAAGGCCCCTCTAGAGGTCACAATTATTATCCGATTTAAAAAAAACGTTTAAATATACTACCGTTTACCCTAAGGATGGTTGAGTTGGAATTTCGTAAAAATCGGACGTAAACTGACAGACAAAATGGCCCCCCATCGTACGCAAATAGTGTATAACATCTGGTATGTCAAAGTTGTGGACCCTCTAGAGGTCACAATTTTGATCGGATTTTGATGAAATTTGAAATACATGTTTATAACCAACACTGCCAGACACAATGGCCGCCCCTCATACGCAAGTAGTGTAAACATCAAGGTTGTAGACCCTCTAGAGGTCACAATTTCGATCCGATTTTGATGAAACTTGGTTCCTGTCGATATTCGCGCATATCAGATAGTAATTTCCTAAATTATGGCCCCTGATTGTAAGAAAAATCGCGTTTTTAACTTGTGGTCACAATTATTATCCAATTTAAAACCAGCGGCTGCCAGGCAGGATACGCCCACATTTTCGAGAGATGGATAGAGAACAAGCTAACAAGAAAGTGATTTTTCCTACAATCAAGGGCCATAATTCAGGAAATTACAATTCGATATGCGCAAATATCGAAAGGAACTAAACGAACGGCAGCCATTTTGTCTGTCAGTCGTCCTCAGGGTGTAACGGTGATATAATAATACGGTTTTTTAAATCGGATAAAAATTATGACTTCTATAGGATCCACAATCTAAAAACACAATTTTTCGTACAATCAGGGGCCATAATTCAGGAAGTTACGGTGCGAATATCGAAAGGAACCAAGATCTTTGGGTTATAAACTTACATTTCAAGTTTCAACAAAATCGGATAAAAATTGTGACCTCTATAGGGTCCACAACCTTGATATACCATATTCTTGTGCTATTCCAGAACGAACGGCGGCCATTTTGTCTGTCAATTTTGGGCCGATTTTCACGAAATTCAAACTCAGTCGTCCTTAGGGTGTAACGGTGATATAATAATACGTTTTTTTAAATCGGATAAAAATTATGACCTCTATAGGGTCCACAAGCTAAAAACGCGATTTTTCGTACAATCAGGGGCCATAATTCAGGAAATTACGTCCGATATGCGCGAATATCGAAAGGAACCGAGATCTTTGGGTTATAAACTTACATTTCAAGTTTCAACAAAATCGGATAACAATTGTGACCTCTATAGGGTCCATAACCTTGATATACCATTTTCTTACGCTATTTGAGAACGAATGGCGGCCATTTTGTCTGTCAATTTTGTGCCGATTTTCACGAAATTCGAGTTCAGTCGTCCCTGGGGTGTAATGGTGATAGAATAGAACGGTTTTTTAAATTGGATAAAAATCATGACTTCTATAGGGTCCACAAGCTAAAAACGTGATTTTTCGTACAATCAGGGGCCATAATTCAGGAAGTTACGGTCTGATATGCATGAATATCGAAAGGAACCAAGATCTTTGGGTTATAAACTTACATTTCAAGTTTCAACAAAATCGGATAAAAATTGTGACCCCTATAGGGTCCACAACCTTGATATACCATATTCTTACGCTATTTGGGAACGAACGGCGGCCATTTTGTCTGTCAATTTTGGGCCGATTTTCACGAAATTCGAACTCAGTCATCCTTAGGGTGTAACCGTGATAGAATAGAACGTTTTTTTAAATCGGATAAAAATTATGACTTGTATAGGGTCCACAAGCTAAAAACGTGATTTTTCGTACAATCAGGGGCCATAATTCAGGAAGTTACTGTCCGATATGCGCGAATATCGAAAGGAACTGAGATCTTTGGGTTATAAACTTACATTTCAAGTTTCAACAAAATCGGATCAAAATTGTGACCCCTATAGGGTCCACAACCTTGATATACCATATACAAATAGACAATTGTCAACAAAATAATGGTGAGGTGATTTTAGATTAAACAACACAACGATTATTATTTTAATACAAAACAATTACAATTACATATTGACAGCCTAATCACTCGCCAAAATACATCACAGACTCAACGTATTACACAATAATCAACTAAATTGCGACGGAGCCCCTTTTAAATAAGACAAATTAGATTGATATTATTTCGGCACCATAATTAATTTTAAAACTAATTGTTGATTTAATTTCCGTTCTTGAAATGGAAATAATCAACTCCAAATATGAGAATTCCAAATAAGAATCAATTTAGAATACCAAAATGCGAATCGTAACACGTGCATTCTTACCATGTTTTGTATACATGATTATTTACGTGTTACAGCACTGGTCTGTACCGTTATTTGATGTATTTTTTTTTTAATTCTCAATTTAACGTATGATTACGTCCAAGACAATTTGGTTTTTAATTTTTCATGAATAGAATATTTTCTGAAGTGTCAAAAAATTGTAAAATTATGTTGGAATATTCATACGTAAAGAAATTGAAAATATTTTAATGTTTTTTAAAATCTAGAAAAAATCATTCCACTCACCTGATACGGGTCCACAAGCCCAACATTGTCCCACCAAGTTACTGTCAGACATAATTTATTACCTACTTTTCCACTTGAAATCTTAACCAGTGTTTGGACAAAATATTAAGCCAAACAGAGTTAACTGTCCTTGGGGTTTTTGTGATGTGATAACTTTGATATAACTTTTATATATTACAGGAAACTAATGATGTTATAACTTTTATATTTTTAGGAAACTGATTATATAAAAATTCTCCATCAATGTGTTGTATGTGATGAGATTTTTCAACAATATGATGATTTAGAAAAACACAATAAGATGCATGTTAAAGATGTGAAAACTGCTGATGTAGATGAATATTGTCATGTTAAAGAAGAGACAACCGATGATGTAGATGAATATTGTCATATTAAAGAAGAGAAAACTGATGATGTAGATGAATATTGTCGTGTTAAAAAAGAGAAATCTGATGATGTAGATGAATATTGTCATGTTAAAGAAGAGAAAACTGATGATATTGAAACTGTTTATCAGTGTAATTTGTGTGATGAAGAATTTAATTTAGAAACTGATTTAGAAAGACACTGTGAAATACATGTTAGTCAACAAGGGCTAACAGGAGAAAGACCTCATAAATGTGATGTTTGTGGTAAATCATTTACTGGGATAGGTAGTCTACAGACACATATTAGAACTCATACAGGGAAAAAACCTTATAAATGTGATGTTTGTGGTAAATCATTTATTCAGAATAATAGACTGAAGCACCACTTTAGAATTCATGCAGGAGAAATACATGTTAGTCGAACTGGACAAAGACCTTATAAATGTGATGTTTGTGGTAAATCCTTCAATTTGAAAGGTAATCTACAACAACACATCAGAATTCATACTGAAATAAAACCTTATCAATGTGATTATTGTGGTAAATCATTTAGACAGAATTATAATCTGCAGCACCACTTGAGAATTCACACTAGAGAAAAACCCTATAAATGTGATGTTTGTGATAAATCATTTAGTCAGAGTGGAACTCTACAGAACCACATGAGAATACATACTGGAACAAAACCTTATAAATGTGATGTTTGTAGTAAATCATTTAATCAGAATAGTCATCTACAGACACACATGAGAACTCATTCTAACGGAGCATATTAGAATTCATACAGGGGAAAAACCTTATAAATGTGATGTTTGTAGTAAATCATTTAATCAGAGTAGAAATCTACAGTCACACATGAGAACTCATTCCGGAGAAAAAACCATATCAATGTGATGTTTGTCGTAAATCATTCAGACAAAAATATACTTTAGAAGTACATGCAAGAACTCATACTAGTGAAAAACCTTATAAATGTGATGTTTGTAGTAAATCATTTATTTCCAATGGGAATTTGCAGAAACACATAAAAATTCATACTAGAGCCTGATATTTGTAGTAAATCATTGACTTTCAGAATTTCTACTAACGAGGTGCCTAAAAACACATGCAGATGAAAAACCTTGTTAATTTGATGTTTATAGTAAATAATTTACAGAGACACATGAGAATTCATACTGAAGAAAAACCCTGTTAATTTGTTAATGTAATGTTTGTAGTAAATCATTTAAACTGTTATTGTAGTTTGGGAGTCTCAGTGGCTTAGCGGGTAAGACACTGGCTTGTTCAGCTTGAGGTCCAATGTTCGATCGCCGTGTTGACTGAGAAAATTCTTTTAAAAGTCATTTGAATGGTACACATTGGTGTGCACGTAAAAGAACCCGCAACAGAATTTGAAATAATAAAAAGCAGTGACACCACTGCCCGGGTCATATATCTCTCATAGAACACTACATTACATACGCCCATCTTCATGACCCCAGTTAGTGCAGGACGTTCAACCCCAGTTAATGCAGGACGTTCAACCCCATTTCATTCCACTCATCTACAAATTTGAGGCATCAAAATACGGTTTAACTTTAACATCCTATTGTTCTGCTCCGAATTGGGCGAATAAAGACGGGCATACGCCATACAGTGTGCTATCAGAGCTAATAAAGACGGGCATACGTCATACAGTGTGCTATGGGAGATATTTTGCCCGGACAGCGGCACTACGACCTACTCTTACATGTAGGAATAACAAATTATACCACCATTACAATACAAAACATACGACTAGGTAGGAATAACAGATTATACCAGCATTATAATAAAAACAACATACAACTAGGTAGGAATAACAAATTATACCATCGTGTTTCACACATTTTTTTCAAAATAAACGCAAATATTGACGGACGCTGCATAATTTACATTCAGAAAATTTCCCTGATGTGAGAATAATTAGATTATTCTATGTCGTAGTTTGTACAATTTATGTGCTTCACCCGGCATTTACCCTACTGCACGTAGTATCCGTAGTTTTTTTATATTTCCTTTTAATTCATTCATAAGTTCATGGCAGTAAGCCTGATACAAGACTTGGGATTGGCTAGAACACGATATACTGTTTACATTCAGCCAATCAAATGTTGGCTTTCATAGTGATAGTTTTCTCTTTACGTCCTGTGGAAGTGAAAGATTGAAATGACTTTGCTGTCAACCACAGACATGCCAATAACCTCCAGTCGTCATTAGACTAAATACAGTAGGCATACCAATGAAATAAGGAAGCTTAAAATAGGGTTGTTCATAAAACAACTTTACATGCTTCTATATTGAGTATTTTGAGAGGCTCTAAGTCACGCAGATGTAAAATTTCCCTCATAGCACACTGTGGCGTATGCCCGTCTTCATTAGCCCAGGTTAGGAGCAGAACAGTAGGACGTTAAACCCCATTTCATTTCATTTCATTTCCGGACACCTGTTACCACTGTTTGTCGAGTATTTTGTACACAGTGAACAGTCCATATGCTGATTACACTATTTTGCCTTATTACACTATTTTGCCTATACCGTTTTTTAGGACTTCGAATTTTGTCTAATGGTTTGGATTGTTCGTACTTGGTTTTATTTTATTTAAAGTAGCTATGGTAATATAGCTTTATAGGATTAGCTAAAGTAATATAGCTTCAAAGTATATGGGGTAATATAGCTTTAAAGTGGCTTGGGTTATTAAGAGATAAACATTTCCATGTTTGGAATTTATCGGGGGGGGGGGGGGTCATGTTGCCTAATGTCCATTTAGACAGGCTTTTCAAATAGAACATATTTTCTTAGCAATGCAGACTATATTCGAATAAACGGAACATCTCAGTTTTCGGGATTTTAGACGGTCTAGTTTTGAAAAAGAGCGAAATATGATGAATGAAGTGAATTTCAGTGAAATAGCAATTTTGTGAACTATTCGGGTTGGAGAGATCCAGGACTATATCATGTATACAACCTTCTACCGGAAACGAATTCTTTTTTCGTGACGTAATATTTTACGGAAGCTAACGTTATTCTGCACTTCACTGAAGACTATTTTACTAAACAAAGAGCTATTTTCTATGACTTGTAGTTGTAGAAGAGACAGATCAGCAATCCCCTGCTGTGTTTTTATAATAAACAATTATCATTCAGTCACACAAGAGCTTCAGAAATAGACAACAGAAATTGTTAACAAAATAATGGTGAGTGATTTTGGATTTGTAGAGTTCGAGGGTCTTTCTATAAGTACCACTCGGTGTTCCAAGGCGTCCGCAATAATAACAATGTTACCTATTTGAAGTCTAAAGCATAATCTGAGCCGTAGCCACAACAAAACAGCAATATATAGGTTAAATGATAGCCTACCGCTGGTGGTATGGGACTCTGTGGAAAGTTGGAAGTAGTCCCGGTTATCCTGACGGACACCTGTATTGTACAGGGCAAAATCAACAGATTAAACAAAACAACACAACGATTTTTATTGACGGCCTAATCACTCTACGTATTACACAATAATCTAGCTTGAAAGGCGATAGATGAAATAGCTTTAATGTATCTATGGTAATATAGCCTTAAAGTAGTCGCTTGTGTGTTGTTGGCGTTGGATAGATCCATGACTATATTTAATATACAACTCGTAAGCCGTTCCCTACCGGAAATGACCTTTGAAACTAACAAAGACATGTTTTTATCTTCGTTATTTTCCCTTATTTGTTGAAACAGACTGAACCCCACGAAAGGACAACTTATTAGGCAACCAACCATTGACTGTAGCAGAACTTTACGAGTTCCCGTGGTCGTAGAGACTTGAAATTTCCAGGGGATATTCAGGGGGGATAGCCATGACCTCAGCCCAATTGATCAATAACTTTTCATTTTACCGACCCTTTAGGTTCTCATTAGAGATAAGTTTATCCGTTCCACTCCATTTTCTTTGTTGACTATAGGGGTTTAAGGTCACGTGACTTTAGCGTGAAATCGGACAGCCAGCGACTGAAATATAGCCCACTTCAATCTACGATTCTGAATTACTATTTTATGTAAATGTATTACTAGCAATTGTATTGTAATATCAATCTAAATATCTGCAAAGATTCAGACTAAAAAATTATCAAAATGTAAGCGAAATTATCGGTAATTTGCAGGAGAAGCTCCCAAGGAAAATACCGCTCTGACGTCCCTCGGCCTGGGATTTTCCATTGTTACGGCTCACTTCATTGGTTATTCTGCACCTTAGTTTCCGGGGGATTTCTATATAGAACCAATCAAACGATAGATGACATTTTTGTGATACCCCAAAATCCGACAATTACAGCCGTAGAAAACAGGATTTATCTGATTTGCTGACTGAAATTTTCTAAATTTCGACTAAATATAGCCTACTTTTTTTTTGGTGTCATCCAGATTATAAATATTTGACATATTATCATTCAAATTATTACCATATTAATAAATCTTAGCGGACGATAACGTGCAGATTTGAGTTTTAAAATTGTTACTAGTGATTCTGATGGGAAAATACTGCTTATGAGGTCACTCAGATATGACTGAAAAGCACTTATTTTGGTGCCATGGCACGCATTGACTGGTATAGAGCATTTTGATTACATTATTGATGTCGATCTCGAATTTTAAAATTCCATAACTTTGGATCTAATTAGAATTTTTTGATGAAATAAAAAAAAATGGGTAGCATTTTATATATATTTTCACAAAATATTTTTAAAGAATTTTTTTCTGTCATTTGAAACTTTGACCTGAAAACCCTATTGACTATTTAGACTCGAATAACAAGATACTAAGACGGAGTCCGACACACTGATGTTATAACTTTTATATATTACAGGAAACTGGTGATGTTAAAACATTTCATCAGTGTGTTGTATGTGATGAGGTTTTTAAACAATATGAAGATTTAGAAAAACACAATAAGATACATGTTAAAGAAGAGAAAACTGATGATGTAGATGGATATTGTCATGTTAAAGAAGAGAAAACTGATGATATAGATGAATATTGCCATGTTAAAGAAGAGAAAACTGATGATATAGATGCATATTGTCATGTCAAAGAAGAGAAAACAGATGATATTGAAACTGTTTATCAGTGTAATTTGTGTGATGAAGAATTTAAATCTTACACTGATTTAGAAAAACACTGTGAAATACATGTTAGTCAGCAAGGGCAAACAGGAGATAAACGATATAAATGTGATGTTTGTAGTAAATCTTTCACTGCCAATGATACTCTACAGACCCATATGAGAATTCATACCGGGGAAAAACCTTATAAATGTGATGTTTGTGGTAAATCATTTACTCAGACTGGTCATTTGCAGAACCATATTCGAATTCACGCTGGTGAAAAACCTTATAAATGTGATGTTTGTGGTAAATCATTTAGTCAGAAAGGTAGTCTACAGACACATATGAGAATTCATACTGGTGAAAAACCTTATAAATGTGATGTTTGCAGTAAATCATTTACAACTAGTAGTCGTCTACAGACACACATCAGAATTCATACTGGTGAAAAACCATATAAATGTGATATTTGTAGTAAATCATTTACTGCTGGTGGAAGTCTACAAAGACACATGAGAATTCATACAGGTGAAAAACCTTTTAAATGTGATATTTGTAATAAATCATTTACTACTTGTAGTAATCTACAGCATCATACCAGAACTCATACAGGTGAAAAACCTTATAAATGTGATATTTGTAGTAAATCATTTTCTGATAGTAGTCATCTAAAGAAACACATGAGAATACATACTGGGGAAAAACCTTATAAATGTGATATTTGTAATAAATCATATACTACTAGTGGTAAATCATTCACTACTAGTAGTAATCTACAGAGGCACATGAGAATTCATACTGGTGAAAAACCTTATAAATGTGATGTTTGTAGTAAATCATTCACCACTAATGGTAATCTACAGTCACACATAAGAATTCATACTAGAGAAAAAAACGTTTAAATGTGATGTCTGTAGTAAATCATTTTCGGACAGCAGTATTCTGCAGAAACACATTAGAATTCATACTGGGGAAAAAAATCTTTTAGATGTGATGTTTGTTAAATTAAAAAAGAGTAATCAATAAAATGTAAATGAAATGAAATGTGGTTTTACATCCTACTGTTTAAAACCTTGAACTAAAATAAAAAAGAGTAATCAATAAAATGAAATGAAGGAGTAATCAATAAAATGAAATGTGGTTTAACGTCCCACTGTTCTGCTCCGAACTGAGCTGAAGAAGGGCATATGCCATACAGTGTGCTATGAGGGAAATTTTGCAGCACTATGGCCTAGTCTTATATCGAATTCCAACTGCCAAGGGATCTTTTACTTGGTTTTTCGTCACATGCGAGTGACTAGACAACTGTCCGTGACGGGCCATCTGTCCTGCCACACTGACAAAGGGAACCACATTGGAATAAAAATAGTAATCAAAGCCACACTTTAAAGTTTTATGGGTTCATTACAACAATTATGTTTAGGGAAAGAAGATTTATTACATTAGCATGAGTTTTAAAGAATTACATAGAATATACCAAGGTATTGGGATATTTACTGGAACCAAAACGATTTATTACATTAGCATGAGCTTTCAATAATTGCATAGAATATACCAATGTATTAGGATATCTACTGGATCCAAAAAGATTTAAAATGGCTTTAGCCACTACTCTGATATAAAGTTTTAAAGGAACGGAGTTAAAACTTAAAGGGAATATTTGGGACATGGTTTCAAATCATAAAGTATGAATTGAATTATAGTAATATGATGATGATTTAAAACATGGTTTAAAATCGTAAAGTATGAATTGAATATATCATTCATCAGAATGTGTCTGGATGTTCTTGATAAATTCAAATGAAATTCAGCTTCTACAAGTCAGATCCATGATGTTGGTTTATTTTATTTTTTTCAGATACAATTAGTTTTCGAAATAATCACTGGGTAGCTGTTCCTCCAATCCTAGAAAACTCTTTGGTAAATCTGCAGTCCAATAATTTGCCTCCTCCTGCATCTTCTAGAGTAACTGGACCTGTTTCCGTTAATTCTATCCCTTCGGGTCCAGCGTTTCGGACAACAAGGCGTCGTCTACAGGGTAGAATCCATCCTGCCCCTTAATAGGTTGCCCAGTAGCCAGTCGTAAGATTAAATTCCATTGTTTTGAATATCACATGCACCGGTATATGACTCAAGACTCTAGAGATCACAATTTTTATCAGATTTAAAACATATCTTTATATCCCAAAGATCTCAGTCCCTTTTGATATTTGCGCATTTCAGACCATAACTTTCTGGATTATTGGCCCTTATGTACAAAAAATCTGGTTTGTTTTTAGCTTGTTCTCCATCTCTAGTAATTAAATAGCAATATGATAATAGTAATTATATAGCAATATGATAACTTATAGTAATTAAATAGCAATATAATAACTAATAGTATTTATAAAGCAATATGATAACTTATAGTAATTAGTAATTAAATAGCAATATGATAACTAATAGTATTTATATAGCAATATGATAACTAATAGTATTTATATAGCAATATGATAACTTATAGTAATTAGTAATTAAATAGCAATATGATAACTAATAGTATTTATATAGCAATATGATAACTAATAGTAATTAAATAGCAATATAATAACTAATAGTATTTATAAAGCAATATGATAACTTATAGTAATTAGTAATTAAATAGCAATATGATAACTAATAGTATTTATATAGCAATATGATAACTAATAGTAATTAAATAGCAATATGATAACTAATAGTAATTAAATAGCAATATGATAACTAATAGTAATTAAATAGCAATATGATAACTAATAGTAATTAAATAGCAATATAATAACTAATAGTATTTATAAAGCAATATGATAACTAATAGTAATTAAATAGCAATATAATAACTAATAGTATTTATAAAGCAATATGATAACTAATAGTAATTAGTAATTAAATAGCAATATGATAACTAATAGTATTTATATAGCAATATGATAACTAATAGTAATTAAATAGCAATATGAATGGCCGAATGGTTATATTGGTATAACTCAAAGAACAATGAGACAAAGCAAATTGATAAGAAAGGTATGCTTCAATTATGCTTGTTGGTTTAATTTGAAAAAAAAGATAGGGGTCATTATAAGATATATTTTGTTTTCAAATCAATCTAAAGGACCAATAAGTGTCGGAATATTGCTGGGAGCGTTTCTTATTGGGTCGGTATAAGTATAATTATGTAGCTGGTTAAGTCTAGTATAGAATAGTAGTAATCGTGGGGAGGGGTTGGATGACCGAATGATTAGCGTGTGCCCACTGTATCATAAGGTCTGTCATTGAGTCAACTGGCATGCTTTCGATTCCCTGGTGGTACATGACAAGGATTAGGGTCACCTGTCCTGCCTCGTGGGTTGTTTTCTGGGTCCTCCGGTTTCCTTCCACTGCTTAAGACACTACGTGCCAGCGAATTGTTGAAATAAAATTGAACCATGTGTAAGTCCTGAAATGACCTAGTCTGTGATAAGTGGACATCAAACTCCCTCTCTCTCTCTTTAGAACAGATATCGTTGATCCCCGTATCGATACCGATTTCTTCAGACAGGCCACTTATCGGCCAATTACCGATTTTTTAAACGATTACTGGACCATCGCTAGCTTTAAATGTTGCTAAAGTAATATATCTTTAAAGTATCTAGAGTAATATAGCTTTAAAGTATCTAAGGTAATATAGCTTTAAAGTACCTAAGGATATAAGGTAATATAGCTTTAAATGATCTAAGGTAATATATCCTTAAAGGATCTAAGGTAATATAGCTTTAAAGGATCTAAGGTAATATAGCTTTAAAGTATCTAAGGTAATATAATCCTTATAAGACATATAGAAATAGATTTCACTAAAAATAAAACACACTTATCATATAAGTGTGTTTTATTTTTAAGGTAATATAGCTTTGAAAGTTGTTAAAGTAATATAGCTTGAAAGGTGATAGATATAATAGTTCAAAAGGTCTAAGGCATTATAGCTTTAAAAGATCTAGGGCAATATAGCTTTAAAACATCTAAGGGAATATAGCTTTAAAGTAGCTAGGGTAATATAGGATGTAAGGTAATATATCCTTAAAGGATCTAAGATAATATAACTTTGAAAGTTGCTAAAGTACTATTTTAGAATATTTCAATTAATTGATGATACAAATTTCATCTTAACACACCTTATTTAAAAATTTTGAAAAATTCAACATAATGGTTTGAAACGTCTAACGTAAACCTTTTCAAATGAAACTTTGATTTAAAAATATTTTCGAACCCTCTGGACAAGTAAAATAGGATGTAATGGATAATTTACGCAACAGGTAGGACACTTAAACATCTAGTACTTAGATAGAGATATTATTTATTTTCTGGAGCTTTCAAGCCAGCAAGAGTGTTATTGTCCCTTTAAGATTCAATTACGCGTTGCGTTGGTCGTTTGTGAGTTGTCTGCGTTGGATAGATCCATGACTATATTTAATATACAACTCGTAAGCCGTTCTCTACGGGAAAAGACCCTTGGAAAGAACAAAGCCCTGATTTTCTGTTCGTTATTTTCCCTTATTTGTTGAAACAGACTGAACCCCACAAAAGGACAACTTACCAGGCAACCGACCATTTACTATAGCAGAACATTACAAACAAAATAATGGGAGTATTACTGTTTCGTTTAGAATTCTGTTTGTAATGTGCATCTTGCCATATTTCACCTTTCGCACTACTCCAGGGTGCCACGAGGTTTCGTTCACACGTAACCTCTCGGTTCTTTAAGCCGTCCTTTTTTAGAGCAATGAGCCACCGAATTGTTGGCGCATCAAATAGCCACGAGCTGAAAGGCGTCAGTCGATAAATTCTAAATGCATGTCCTACCTTATTGTGTTATCCACCTCTGAACAACAATGACACTTACTGACAAACAAACGTTGTTCAGTGAAACAGGTTTATCCAATACCACATACACACCAACATTTCTTTCAGTCGCAATGTTTGGATAGTTTGACCTCCTTTTGACGACATATCCTCCCGTTCAAATTTGAGGACCCCTATTTTACCCGAAACGAAGTGTATTTTTGAACAATATTTCTATGGATTTCGTTTGTATTGTTTTTGTAGATATGAGTTGCACATCAATTAAATTAGGGTTTGAAGCTGTTATAGATAACACAAACAGTAATAATATCAGATTAAAATTAAAATGTTTAAGGATAAATCCAGAAATGGAAAATGTAATGCAAACACATATTCTACCATAATTTATTTTACTTAGTTGTTGAACTCATAATTCAATTTAAATATTTCTCAAATAATCGATTTTATATCTAAATGCCTTTCCGTAAAATGAAATAATTACGAGTGGTGAACATGCAGCGACATGAAGTACCCAATACAGCACAGAGCCTATCTTATGGAAGGGCCTCAAAATTAGTTGTTTTTTAAAAAAAAACAAAAAAACTTCACTAAATCTAATCAGAATTGTAATAAAAACAATGACATGTTATGATTTTTGTTTATTGATGTCCATTTAATCAATGAGTTGGACATTAAAAGGATTGCCTTCAAATAAACTCTTGATTTCGTTTCGTACGTTGCACCCTGTTCCTAATATGCATCTTGCCAGCCTTCACCTCGTGCCAATATAGGTGATTTCCGGTTTCGCGTTTGTTGTTGGTTATCGCGGAATATTTTTGGGAAATCTCTTAAAATAGACAAGAAAAAAGATTTTGTGGAAAATAGATGGATATGATACATAAGTTGAATGTGTTAGTGGTGCAGATAATTGGGAGTTTAGCCGTACGCTGAAAGAAGTAAACTAGTTATCAACTTATGCGACGAGGTTTTGACTGTTCGGATGTTAGATGTTACGTCTTCAGAATATCAAAGAGTAACATCTAACTTGTTGGATTACTTTCGCACCTCTACAGTACCAGTTCCCATTGTCGTAGAGATTTGAAATTTTGGGGGGATTTTCAGGGGAGATAGCCATGACCTCACACTATAGAGGTTTAAGGTCACGTGACTTTAGCGTGAAATTGGACAGCCAGGGGC